TCCCTTTTCTAAATGAATAGATCATTACCGTGTCCGCTCGGAAGAGTTAACAATAAAAACAAACAAATTAACAATAAATTAATCCAGAATGTTAATGATTAATAATAATTCGTTATTATTGATCATTAATATTCATAATCTGAGAGTCCGCTTGGTCGAGCGGGCAGGATCATATACAATCATATGTTTGTTTGACCAAATTGACCGAAGCCTAAGCCGGAATATTTCACAGTAAAATCTTCAGAGTAAAATTTACTCAGTTCAGAGAACATTTGGTCCCTCTCTAAATTGAGCAAAGAGAGTGAAAGCACACAGAGTGAAAGTTAATGAGACAATGATGGGGTTAATTAAGTGATGATTGAGCACTGATGATGAACACCTGCTGTTAATAAGCAGAAACAGAAGAGAAGCAGCAGCAGCTTCGCTCATTGGTTACCTGATTGACCTTATTTCTGTCAGATGTTCACAAAAGTCAACACTGTAAAAAAATGCTGTTAAAAAACTGTCAGATTCTACGGTAAAATTATGTTTTTTTTTTACTAAAACAGTAATATTCTGTTAAAACAGTGCATTCTGGGTAACATTTTTGTTTTCGAGAAATTAACCAACAGCAGAAAACTGAGCTAACAGAGTTCAGATTCGATGTTTTGAAATGTGTTTGAAATCAGATTTTGTGCCCTAGTTTACTATTCCATACACTAGTTCACTAATAAAGTTCACGTGACAGAGTTAATGAACACTAATGAGTGAATTCAGACACCGATGAACACCTGCTGTTAATAATAACAATTACAGAAGGAAAGAAACAAAAACACAAACAGTGACTTGAGTTACAGCATTAAATAAAATCAAGTAAAATAAAACACCTTCAGTCTCAGCAGAGGATCATTAAACAACTCCACAAACAACAGCAAACACATGTATTACTGACTGCTTGGACTTCCATACTACTCTCAATGAGATCCAACAGAAATGTAGATGTTTTTTTGTGTCACCGTAATATAGTCAGGGGCTGGTTTGGTTGGGCTCTTTACCCTTGAACTCCTTAAATTTGACTTCCCAAATGCTGTAATAAAGAGTTTGCAAAACACTTTTATTATAGCAATAAAGTGGGAAAGTCAATAGATAGATTAATCTATTTGTCTGAAATTTGATCTGATATATGTTTTGGTTAGGTCTGGAAAAAGGACCTCATGCAATAGTTTATGCTTAGTTGTAAATTTAAATTAATTTATTTAATTATTAAGTGGAAACAGTAAAGATACCTATATAATTACATTATTGTTAAGACATAACATACAAAAACAGTTCAGTTATGACAAAGACACACTCAGACCTTGTACCTCAACAATGGTAACAATTAAAATGTTTCATGCTGCAATGCATGCTGGTTGTGGCACAGTACAAATATCCCAGCATGCATTGCGGTGTGAATGAATGTAGTATAATGGTCTAACAGTTTTCTTTATTTGCGTTTTATTCTGCTTTTGTTTATGTTTAGACTTTTAGTTGCCTGTTTGTGATTTAAACTGTTCATTTTGTTAGTTGTCACAATTATTGAGGTTCATATGCTGATTATTGATGTCTGTTTGAGTGCAACTTACACCATAGAGCAGTGTTATTGTCCAAGATATTCTTAAAAACTTCTAGAAATCATTGCCACATATAATGTGAAACAATAGATTAAAGATTGAATAGGAGCAGTAAATTATGTTATATTAAATGAGAATATATATTAAATGAGAACAGACTCTGCCATTTAATAGCAACATAAACATCACCAGATCTTATTTAGGTTTTTGTCTGGCTTGCCACATCAAAAGAGCTTTTTAAACAAAGTTCTTAACGATTACAGCAGCCAAAATATATGAATGATAAAAATGACAGGGCTAAGAGCCCAACTAAAGCAAACTCTGTTCTCCATGATGATGACATAAAATGTTAACCTTTTTCTCAAGAAGAACTTTAGTAGATGTTGTACAAAAATAAACGTTTCAGTAATAAGTGTAGCTGGTGATGATGTTTGTAGAGTTGTTTAATCATCCACTGATAATTTAAATGATTTAATCATTTGTTGTTCTTCAGGTTATTACATTATAAAGCTGTGACTAAAGTTTTGTATGTTCTGTTCTTGTTTTCTCCCTTCAGTAATTTTTCATTTGTTCAATGCTAATCTTCAATCATGTTTCTTGAACACTCAGTAGTTTGGACACTTCAACTAAAACTGAAGTATTTGCTCTGGGGTTTAAAGGGTTAAAGGTGTGAGAGTTAAAAACAGTGTAAAAATTTATTTTAACAGTAATATACTGTTAATTTAAACTACGGAAATAGACTGTAAAAAACAGTAGATTGCTGGCAACCACAGCTGCCAGTAGTTTACCGTTAAATAAAGGGAAAAAAAACAGTATTTTACTGTAAAACCTGAAGCTAATTTCTTCGGTGTGTCACCGTTGTGGAGGAGAGTAGAGCCAGTGTATGAGTTAAAGATGAACATTAAGCTGCTGATGTTATTCTGCATGTTTCTTTATTTAAAGACAGCAGCTGTTTAGTTGCTGATGCAGTCAGAATCTCCCTGTGTTAATTCCAGCTTTACATGTATGTGTGCTGATGTGAAATTAAAGACATTTAAGGTAAACTGAACTTTTCTAATTAACTAAAATAAGTAGTCATTATAAGCATGCTTCTAGACTATAGCACTTTACTTCATAAACTCATACAGCAGTTGGACAATTTGAGGCAGTTGCTTTCAGTGGACAAAATGAGTTCCCTTGAGTATTGTGTATATCAATGTAGTCCAAGTATTTTTACAGCAACATACTGTAAATTAACAGTACATTGCTGGCAACTGCCAGTATTTTACCATTTTTTAACGGGACAATTTATAACAGTGGCATATGAGATTTATTGGGAAATAACCGTTTTAGTTATTTACATTTAAGAAAAAATATATATCTTTTTTTTTTCGCCTGATGTCACCATCATGGAGAAAAGGGATTAATTTTTGTTTACTTGCAATGACAAGTATAAAGAGAGCACATGTGATCAAGATGATTGATCCTGTGTGAATTCTTACTCTTGATAAGAATTACTGTACAAGAAATTATGCTTAGATGATGGATTATCATATAAAAAACTAAATTCAGTGTTTATCAAGAGAATGGTTCTCAGCTGTGGTGATATTAAAACACATTGAGAATCTGAATCACTTTAGAGTTACAGACATTAATAATCAGCATTTCTTTCTCAGCAGTGGTTAGAGATTTTTTTTTTTTTTTTTTTTGGCTGCAGTGCATGGTAAGAGAATCATACGACATTCATCCATAGTTCCCAGCATGCACTGTAGGAAAAAAAACCTCACCATAGTTGAGAAGCATACTCTGATTCTTTATGTCTGTGTGTTTTAGATGTTCAATGTGTTTAATGATCTGATAAAAGTATTGGTGAGCTCCATTTTTTTAATACAGTGCTTCTTTTGTGATACAACATTATTTAAACTTAATAGGTCAAAACCAATTACTGATTTGACAAGTGACTTAACCATCAGAGAGTCAATTATCCAGAGCACAGTTGCTCTCATTATACAATATTTACCACAATACACTATTTGACAAAGAGAATCTAATATTAGCAATCGAGTCAGAGTCCAAGCAAAGCAGCTGCTGTTCTCCGCAATGGTGACAGCTTAAACACAAAAAAGTGTCGTTTTTTTTTTTTTTTTTTTTTTTAATGTCGTTGTAAATATGTATAGACATATATATAGACACACACACAGTATATAAACTGTCATTTGAAATGACACTTTCATCACTAGTGAATCAGATGAGTTTTTGCTCAGGGGAATAAGTGTGCTTACTTCAAAGCCATTAAAATATCATACTATTAATTAAATGAGACCCTAAATCACAAAACCAATCTTATAGTGCACAGGTACATTTTTTGGGGAAAAAATTATTGAATCAAAATGATAATTTTTTATTTTATTACAAAAAACATTATTATATTAAAATACATTTTGTACACTTCAATAACTCCAATAAAAAATGTTTTCATTAATAATATGAATTGCTAAGAATGAACTCTAAAGGCAATTTTGAACCTTTATATTTTAGATAATACATGTAGCCTATTTCACACACATTACAGATTTTTAAGATCCATGGTCTGAAATGGTTTCTTGTTTTTTTTTAATTAAACTTAACCCTAACATGTCAAAAACTTTTAACCTTAAACATTAGCATACAAATACAATACTATCAGTGCTTCTCACAGGTTTGAAATATACTTGCGGTGGTAGCCGGATTGAAACACACCCTTTACCCAAATCACATAATTGGTTACCTATATGGGACAAATAAAAATATTATATTTTTTACAATAATTTTATTTATTATTTATGACAATGTTATACACTGTTTACTTTCAATTGGTTAAAGTAAAAAAAAACTTTAAAAATACATCCACTTTCTCTTACCTATTCAAGAGCCATATGTGCACCGCTGACAAGTCAAATCTACTCTCTTTCCAGTTCAAAGCAAACTTGAATGCAAAAGCATTTTAGATATGTCTATAAAATAGCCTATGCATTAGCCTGATGACATCATCAAATTAATAAAATATACAGCAAATGAGAAATAAATGACAGAAAAAGGAATAAAAACAGAATATCTCTAAAAATATTCATAAATAATCATATTTACAAGATTTAAACGTGTAGATTATTTAAAGAAGGCTAATGCTTTAATTACTAACAGTGTAGGTATATTAGCAGCCAGTTTAAACAAGTAACGAGTAGGGTTGGGTATCGCTTGGGTTTTTTTCGAGACCGGTGCTAAATCGATACTTTTTACGTCAAAACGGTGCCTGAACCGATACCTTCAGTATCATTATAATTGAACAATATAAATATACATTTATAATAAGTTTAAAGTAAACATCAATTCATATTTTATATATTTGAATTGCATTAATATATTTCTTTTGATAATTTGTTTATTAGCATAAATGCAAGATTTGCATTATGCTGTAAACGTTACATTAGCTTACTACTAAACTGTGGAAAGGCTGTAATCAAAATCAGAAGCACATTTTTTTCTGGGTTTGGGACTTCTGACTACTTTTACATGGACATCAATGATCTAATGATTTGCCTTAATCTGAATAAGACAATAATATGATTCAGGTGTTTACATGAATTGCTTTTTGAATGTTACATTCATGATTCCCAGTTACATGTTATAGCACATACATCCATCAACGTCATTGTGTCACCAGCCTATAAATGTTTCCTCCGCAGTTTGTGTCTGCGGTCCTTTAAGATGTTAAAAAATCACTGTTTACATGGTAGACTCTTGATCAGAGTTGTGTCTTAATCATATTAAAATCAGAATATTAGTGTCCATGTAAACGTACTCAGATAATGTGCCAGATGATGTCACAAGCTGTCAAAGACAGTCCATTCCTCACCTTTGAGGTTATTCAATGAGCCTACACATTTGATAAGTTTGATGTGTTTCTCCCTTACACGCAACTTTTGTAACATCTGCTGCATGTTGGTGTGTCAGAATCCTTGCTTGTAAAATATAGCCATACTGTAGAATACTTAGTTTAAGCAAATTAGATGAATGCGATCATGAGTGTTGATGAAGTGAGTCGCTCACTGCATGCGCCGCAGTGCTCGCTTTGCCTTCTAAGCTACAATAACAAACAACTGACATCCGTACTCCTCAAAGCTGTTTAGAATTAAACATTTAGAGATGGTGTGACTGTGACACAACGCTTACTCATGTGTCTTTAATGCACCCCTTTATGCTTCTTAAGCGCGTCACACATCGGATGCACGGCTCAGAGCACTGGCACTGCGCGCACATGACAAAATAGGCAAGGCACCGAAGTGTGGCAAGCACTGAGTCAGACTAAATAGTATAAACTTTGATTAGCCGTTTTGTTTGTAATCTTTAAACCCGTAAAATAGGCTTTTATCTTTGGTGAAGCGCCTTCCATTTTTCATCGTATCTGATGGCTGAATAGCAAATGAATCGATAAATTGAATAATTTAAAGCGGTTCTTCTGAACCAAACGATTCAGTCCAGATCTAGTTAATACTGCGCATGTGTGACTTAGAACTTTCGGTTTTGCTTTGTTTTTAAACGCATAATATATAACAAACGGTTGTGTATTTAACAAAAACATTTAACTTTAACTTGTCATTTAACTCAAGTCAAAGTCAAGTCTCGAGTCATGACAGCCAAGTCCAAGTCAAGTCGAGTCTTTATTGGATATTTATCAAGTAAGTCTCAAGTCCTAAATTTTGTGACTTAAGTCTGACTCAAGTCAAGTCATCTGACTCGAGTCCCCCATTTCTGGTAAATGGTTTCTCTCCAGTGTAGGTCTTTATGTGTTTATTAAGGTATGAGTAGTTGCTGAAACTCATCCCACATTGTAGCTGTGGTCACACTAGAGTTTGAGCATGCAAAATTCTGTTGTACAGCGCTGCAAAAAGGGGCAGGACTAAACAAAATGATTAGACATTAAAAAGTGAGCGATTGGTCAATATTTTAAACTTCTGTCAAGAGAGGTCATGTTTTGATCTACGATTGGTCTCACACAGTTAAGTGATACGATTTTGCAGGTCAGAGTTCACCAAGCTTGAACTTTGCAAAGCAGTGAACTGCAAAACTTGACGCACGAACTTGATTTTCCGGTCTGACACATTTGCGTGCGTATGAATGGAAGTCTATGGGGAGAAAAGTCCAGTGTGACTGCAGTTTAAGTGCAGGTGAATGGTTTTTACTCTAGTGTGGCTCATCATGTGTAGATTAAGGGATGATGATTGGCTGAAACTCTTCCCACACTGAGTGCAAGTGAATGGTTTCTCTCCAGTGTGGATCCTCATGTGTTTATTAAGGGATGATGATCGGCTGAAACTCTTTCCACACTCAGTGCATGTGAATGGTTTCTCTCCAGTGTGGATCATCATGTGTGGATTAAGGTGTGATGATTGGCTGAAACTTTTCCCACACTGAGGGCATGTGAATGGTTTCTCTCCAGTGTGGATCCTCATGTGTTGATTAAGGTGTGATGAGCAGTAAAAACTCTTCCCACACTGAGGGCATGTGAATGGTTTCTCTCCAGTGTGGAACCTCATGTGGTGAATAAGGGATGACGATTGGATAAAACTCTTCCCACACTGAGTGCATGTGAATAGTTTCTCTCCAGTGTGGATCCTCATGTGTTGTTTAAGGTGTGATGATTGGCTGAAACTCTTCCCACACTGAGTGCAGGTGAAACGATTCTTGTCTCTCCTTTTTAAAATACCATCAGTCTGTAAATTGTTTTTTTCCTCAATTTTGACATGATGTTCCTCCTCTTTACTTCCCTCATTCTCTTCAATTAGGTCTGAAAAAAAAACATCAGTTTTCATTAAGTCTTAAAAACTCTCATCAAAAGTGAAAAGACACTGGAAACATTGGCTACACACACTTTAATTTTGATGCACATTTAATGTAAAATAAATCAGATCATATTTACTTTGGTCCATTAACGTGTACACACTTAAGCAGATTCATTTATTTACATTTACATTTAGTCATTTAGCAGACGCTTTTATCCAAAGCGACTTACAAATGAGGACAAGGAAGCAATTTACACAACTAAGAGCAACAATGAATAAGTACTAAAGGCAAGTTTCAGGTCTGTAAAGTCTAAGAAGGGAAGTATTAGTAGTATTAGTATTTGTTTTTTTTTTTGTTTTTTTGTACAGTTAGTGTGATATTCAAAGAGGCAATTGCAGATTAGGAAGTGAAGTGGAGACTAAATAGTTGAGTTTTTAGTCGTTTCTTGAAAATAGCGAGTGACTCTGCTGTTCTGATGCAGTTAGGGAGTTCATTCCACCAACTGGGCAGATTGAGCGTGAGCGTTCGCGAAAGTGATTTTTTCCCACTTTGGGATGGAACCACGAGGCGACGTTCATTCACAGAACGCAAGTTTCTGGAGGGCACATAGATCTGCAGAAGTGAGTGCAGATAAGAAGGTGCTAGGCCAGAAGTCACTTTGTAGGCAAACATCAGAGTTTTGAATTTGATGCGAGCAGCAACTGGCAGCCAGTGCAAACGGACTAGCAGCGGAGTGACATGTGCTCGTTTAGGTTCATTGAAGACAACTCGTGCTGCTGCATTCTGGAGCAGTTGAAGAGGCTTGATAGAGTTAGCTGGAAGCCCAGCTAGTAGAGAGTTGCAGTAATCCAGTTTGGAGAGAACAAGAGCTTGAACAAGGAGTTGAGCTGCATGTTCAGATAAGAAGGGTCGGATCTTTCTGATGTTATAGAGTGCAAATCTGCACGATCGAGCAGTTCTAGAAATGTGGTCAGAGAAGTTTAGTTGGTCATCAATCGTTACTCCAAGGCTTTTCACCATTTTGGATGCAGTAATGGTTGCCCCATCCATCTGGATTGAAAAGTTATGGTGTAGAGTCGGGTTGGCAGAAACTACAAGCATTTCCGTTTTTGCGAGGTTCAGCTGAAGATGATGATCTTTCATCCAGTGTGAAATATCCAACAGGCAGGCTGAGATACGAGCTGGAACCGAGGGATCATCAGGATGAAAAGAGAGGTATAGCTGGGTATCATCAGCATAGCAGTGGTAGGAGAATCCATGTCTCTGGATGACTGGTCCTAGAGATGATGTGTAGATGGAGAAGAGAAGTGGCCCAAGAACAGAGCCTTGAGGTACCCCAGTGTTTAGATGCTGTAGGTTGGACACCTCTCCCCTCCAAGACACCCTGAATGACCTGTCAGAGAGGTAAGATCTGAACCATTGTATAACAGTGCCCGCAACGCCCAGTGACTTAAGCGTAGATAGCAGGAACTGGTGGTTGACAGTGTCAAAAGCAGCTGACAAGTCCAGCAAGATGAGGACTGATGATTTAGAGTCTGCTTTAGCCAGTCTGAGATCCTCCACGACCGAGAGCAGGGCAGTCTCAGTTGAGTGGCCTTTCTTAAAGCCGGATTGCTTGTTGTCCATGAGATTGTTTTGAGTAAGAAAGTCCAGGACTTGATTGAACACTACTTTCTCCAGAATCTTGGCCATGAATGGAAGCAGGGATACTGGTCTGTAGTTTTCAAGTAGCGTATGGTCCAGATTGGGTTTCTTTAGCAGTGGGGTTACCCTAGCCTGCTTAAATGTAGTGGGGAATAAACCAGAGTCAAGAGATGTGTTAATTATGTGAGTCAGTGTTGGTATGACTGCAGGAGAGATGGCTTGCAAGAGATGAGAGGGAATGGGATCGAGTGGACAGGTGGTTGCATGGCTAGATAGCACAAGTTTGGACACCTCAGACTCAGAGAGCTGAGAAAAAGAGGTGAATTTATCTAGTGATTTTACAATGTAAATTGTGCCAAAGCCGCTTAACATAGAAGTTGTAGTAAATTGAAACTGTGTCAGTTCGGTTTTCAGCGTTTCTTACGTAATTGACCATAAGTCATTTTAGTCATATTGATAAGACATAGATTTAAAAGCTGTAAATGGCCTGTTTTTATCCGTATATATTCATAATTACAACAGAATGTTTTTCTAAAATTTGTAAAGCACACAGGGAATATTTGTTCATTCAGTGTCTGACAGGTAAACACATCAGGAAAAAAAAGTTCTGGGGTAACAGCTGAATATTTGCCTTGCAGAAATGAGATACCTGTACAACATCTACATAAAAGCTGGAATGTTCATCTTTCCCCTTATGGTCCGTTTGAGTCATTTACATCCATTCTGGGGTGATTTTGAGGCTTAATTTTGCCAAAACTTCCTCTGTGTTTCAGCAAACGAAGTGAAGCTTTATAAGCTAATTTCAAGAGGAGCACATGGTATGATTAAAGGGGTGGTCCAGTGTGCAATTTAAAGGCTTGGTTGTGTTAATAAGATGCAAAGCAATGTGGGCTCATGTTTCACTTGAAGGAAATTATGATATTTTTTCATAAATTTCACTTAGATTATACACAGCTACTCAGCTAACATGAAAACGACAGTCATATTTCCTAGTTCCTCTGAAAGGCCCGCCCTCAAGTGACTTTGATTGGTCATCGTCATAATGTGCTGTGATCAAGCGGCAACCTCCCGCTCTCCCTCAGGAAGCCAATACGGAAGTAACTAAAACTGCAATTCATCCGAAATTCCGCTAGTCCTGGCCGCTCCTGGCTCCAAAATAGAGCAAATTTCAATTGAGCCCACTGTTAGAATGGTCAACTTTACAGCAGAAAAAAAGGTGTTTACAGCCTGGTACAAAAAAAGATTTTGGTTAATACAGCTAATATTACCCTTCATGACAACTGTGAGGGGGGTGAATTTTTTTATAACTCACCCGTTTCCTTTATATTAAGTTATATTAAGTTTGCATAATTAAGGGAGTGGCCACTTGAGTGACAGCTAGGTCTCGTTGGTCGCCGTCACGTCACCTCAGCTGAATCCTGCAGATTAGCCACTGAACTCGGCATATTTATCATATTTCTGTGTTGTTTTATGTGGCTTTACACAGTCAACTGCCTTTTGGACTTGTTTCCTACAATTATTAGACGGCATGGCATGCTAAGTGCACTTAATTGTGCTCACAAACCATTCATGTGGTCTCCGTTTCCCATGTGAGTAAAGTTATATACTTATATTCCATCTTTATACATGTATTTGTTTTATTTAAGATCCTTTATCATTTATGTTTATATTTAGAGCTGTAATGCACTCCAGAATCTGACGAATTGATTAGCTGTAGGCTCTAGAACAGTCATCTGAAGCGTTGTCATACAGTGTTATGCTGGATTTCATCAATAGTCTTACATTAACTAACACGTTCTATATCTGAAGTGTTTGGAAGTAATTCGCGTTTTCCTCCTGTTGAAAAACATCCTAAGAACAATGTTTTGTGGCTCAATGTATTACAGCATTGTTTTTAAAAGTCTAAACACTTTATTGATATAGTTTACAACCAAGCACAAGAGGTCAGAATACAAACAGGTAATAAAGTATTAAGCGTTCTCCCAAAGTAAAGTGTGTCTGAACCAGGTCCAAGCAAAATGCCAGCACGTGTCTGTAGCTCCGCTCACTCTCCGCCTCTTTGCTCTTGTTTGGTATCCCGGGGTGGGTGTGATGACACGCGAACAAAATGGTGACGGTTGGCCGCATCTAATTGTGGCTTCTTTTGCGCTCTTTAGAAACCTATGGGTGACGTCACTGACACTACGTCCATATATTTTACAGTCTATGGCTGCGATACGCGGATCTGCTCCACGTCACGCCCGGACAAGCACACGTGTTTTGTGTAAACAGTCAGTCAGTCAGTCAACAAGTGTCTGTAACGAGTGAAAATTGGATGCGGCTCTTTTAAGGAGTGTTTGTGTACCATTGTGTGTGTGTGTGTTATGTGTGTGCGTGTGTATGAACTGTAATATATGTATCTGTAACAGAAGTGCATGTGCGCAGGAGTGATGTTTATTTTTATTTTTCTCTCATGCTCGGATTAAGTTATTTTCTGTGGTGACGCTGGTGACAGAATAAAGCACAAGATGTGGGATGATACCTGTGTGAGCCTGGATTGATTGTTTTTGCTGCTACACTCCAGTTGGGAGAGAGCATTGCTGTATTTTTTTTTTTAACTCAATGCGTTACACGACGTCTTTCACGCATATCCGAAATATGCCTGTGTATTTAACATGAATCGTTAACATATCATTTGCGACTTCATTGTCTGAGGGTGTTTTCACACCTACACTTTTGTTTTGGAACGTATCTCGTTTGCCCAGTTAGCGCGGTTCGTTTGGCATATGTGAATAGGGCAATCGCGATCTGTTCCGCGCCAAAGTAATCGCTCCGCGATCGCCTGAATGAGGTGGTCTCGGCTCGACTGAAACAACCCTGGAGCGGTTCGATTGCAGTGAGAAAGCGATCCGATCTGAGCACGGTTTTATCACAGTGTTTTATGGATATGTATAAGGCTTACGGCTATATGAAGAGAGAATTATGAGAATGGCGGGAAGTTTCGCAAGTCTCCAGATGCCCGCAAACGAGTGATGATCTCCCGGTAATCTCGCGTCTCCCTCCCGGTCCTCAAATAGGCATCGTCGCGCACCCTTCTC